TATTGTGTTTTTCTTTTACTAATAAATGTTTTTTATTCAAGTGTAGCTACCATATTTGTCATCTTAGAACAAGAGCTTGAGTGTCTTTTATTTTCATAAATAAATTTAAATCCATGATCGATATCAATTGATGTTGATCTTTTTTGAAATTTTTATCAAATTATGAATCACCCACTGTGACCTCATTTAATTAACCAAATAAGTATATTCTCTTTGTTGGTGAAATATAAATCCATGGAATATAAAAGGGTTGAGATTTCTTTGCTAGAAAGTAATTTATAGGGCATTGATCTTTCCAATTACAAGTTGAGACAGTCATCAATAAGGTGGTTGGTTCATGTAATTGGTCTAAGACTATCTATACATTTATGAAATAAGCGGTACCTTGTGAGTGATCATGCCCATGTTATATTATACTTGTGATGATATCTCTTATGTGGGTATGTGATATTTGGGGTGAGATTGAGTACTTCTAAACATTTATATTGAAGCTCTTGTTATTTTAGAAAATCTTAGGAATTACTTTAGATATGTATAAGCCCATGGATTATAGATTTATTTTGACATAACTCATTTTGTATTAGAGTTAATTGATCAGACTTCGCTTGCACAATTCAATTTTTTGCTATAATCATTATGATATTATTGTGACAAGTTGTATTTAATGTGTCTTTCATCTCCATCAAAGAACCTTCAGATCAATGTTAGAAAATTTTAACTTATATTATGATACTCATATAGGAGCCAAAAATATATTTGACATGACAATTGTTGAGATGTGCTTTGGATTTTCTTGAATAAATTTCTATATTGTGTCCTTTTTAACTATTTGTACTCAATAAACAACTCAAATTTTGATGTTATTGAGAATCAACAACAATAAAAAAAAACTTTATAAATTAGTAATAGTCTAACTATTAGGGTTAATGTATAAGCAATATAGATCTAGAGAGCTTTCCATTTGTGATCTCCAATCCCTTGGTTTCCATAGAAATCTAGAGAATGTTTTGAAAGATCTTGAAACTGTTTGTAAAGGGTCTACAAACAACCTTTAAACTCTTGTCTTTAATATATTTATAAATAAGAACATTTTTTTGTAATATAAATCCTCTATTTATACTGAGTAAAAACATTCAATAATAGTTTTATCTTCACTATTTTATGTATTTTTAACCATTTTAACCGTAGAATCTATTTCTTTTCTCACCATTACACCTCTATTATATATCATCTATTACTTATCGATATCATATATTACTTATTGATTGATAATCCTTGTAAGGATGATGTTACAATGATTAAAGGTCATTTTATATTCCAACCTATTCTGAGCCAAAACATTCATTTTTGTATTATTTCTACTCATTAAAACACAAGAATTAAATTGGAGAATCTTTTTATTAAGGTTTAAGACCATTGCATAGTTGATATTTAGCTTACTTCTACATGTAGCTAATTCCTATTTTTTTTTTTTTAATATTATGGTTGGTCACCT